TATATATATATATAAATATCCACATACATACACACACACACACACACATATATATATATATATATATATATATATATATATATATATATGTATGTGGGTATATATACCCTGAGTGGCCAAATTATTATGACCACCCCATCAGTAACTTCGTTGGGCCACCTTTTGCCTTCAATACTGCGGCGATTCTTCTTGGCATTGACTCCACGAGATGTTGAAAGGTGATGAGAGGAATCTGACACCATGCCTGATGAATAGCACTGTCCAGTTCTGTGAGATTTGATGGTTGTGGAACCAGCTGCCTGATGGCTCTTTTAACTTCGTCCCACAAATGCTCAATTGGATTGAGATCTGGTGATTGTTGGGGCCACCTAAGCAAGGTAAAGTCTCCCTCATGTTCTTGAAACCACTCCTGCACATTACGAGCACTGTGGCATGGCGCATTGTCTTGTTGGAAGAAGCCATCTCCATTGGGATACGCCATCAACATGATAGGATGAACTTGATCAGCAATGATACTTAGGTATGCTGTGCTATTCAGACCTTTATAATGATCTGGCCCTCTAGCAACTTCAGTGCAAAATTATAGCTCATTTGCCTACATACGTCAGGTGGTCATAATAATCTGGCCACTCAGTGTATATCTCCACGCACCTATACTGCTATAAATGACTGAATAAATACAGCGGGGTGGAGGGGCAGACAAATGCCTTGCAGAAAAATAGCACCTCACTCAGGCAGACATTCTGCCCTCAAGGAGGGGAAGTCCCCACTCCTACGACCCCCATTAAACTGCTCTGTGACTGTGTCCTCCTGAGTGACTTCGGGGAACTGTCCACTTGATCACCTGAGGGCCAACTGCAGCGGCATCCGGGCGTGGTGTCTCGGGGACCGGCGCTGCTGCCGGGACACACTGTCTCTCCAGGCCCCAAGCAGTCTGCGTGACCGTGCTCACTGGATCTGATGTGCAGGAAGCAACAACACCTCAGATGCCTCAGGAGACACCTGCCACCCAGAGGGGGAGGCGCTGGCCGGAGCGTCAGATGCCCTCTGGAAAGTCCGAGTGGCCGCTCTGCACATGGCCTGCGGGCCACCCACCTGGGCTTCTGGAAGCGACACGCACTGACCTGAGCGGCTGCTCCGACACACTGGCTGACGCGCCCGCTGTTCTCAGAGGGACCAGAGCAGGAATACCCTCTGCAGCAAGTGCAGGCTCCTGGTCCACGCGGCCCACGACAGCGGAGTCACAGCCAGGGATACGTGCAAAGGAAGCCCCGTCAGGCACCAACAGGGGATCCATAGAGCAGATGCTAGGGATTTGGGGGGAAAATGGCGGAAACCCTGTTTTTTTCTGCAGATTATTTTTTTTCCTTCTGAGAAATGGTTCCTGGCTTCCTACTGGGCCGTTAGAGACCGAACAACGAACGAGGAAAGGCCAAGTGACCATGCAGCCTGAGTGTCTCCATAAGCGGGGTGTTATCTGACCCGTCCGGCCACAGCTGGCCATGGTCAGGTGCCCAAAGAGTGAGGGACACAGACCCGGAGAGTAAGGAGCTGCCCAGCCACGCCTCCTGCTCCTGCGCTGGTGCCAGCTGCGTCACCTCCTGTCCCCGTCCACACCCAGAGCCTGGGTGGGAGGGGCTCCTGGGAACTGCTGGTCTGTGGACGGACGTTCCTCACGGCAGGCTGGCCCTGCATTGTTCATGTATTACTCACTTTGGCTAAATTCTAAACTCAGGAGAAAGATAGTTTCCTGGCGAGGGAGAAGCTGAGTGGGAGCAGACGCAGGTCGTGGTGGCTGTCATTCTTCTGGGGGCGGGAAACCGGCGGTCAGGACCCGGGTCCTTGGAGAAGTGAGCCTTTGGGGGTGGCAGCGGGTGAGCTGGGGAATTAGACTTTCTAGTTCTTTGACTCCTGAAATCTGTAGTTACAGTGGTAGAGACCACACCTCTAGAGCTACTGTCCGTTATGTTCCTACTCTAACAGTGTTTGCAGCTTCCCTCTCCTCTTCGGGGTCTAGAGGGCCCTTAAAGGGTCCCTGGTAACTGAATTTAGCAAAATTGTAAGATACAAATCAGGTCAATTTACAAAAATCAGTTGTATTTCTAGATGCTAATCAAAACCAGCTGGGAAATAAAACGCAAGGAGAACAAGGCCGTTCTCACATTCCCAAGAAGGAATGCAGGCAGAGCGGCCGGAGCCCAGGTGTCCTCTGAAGAAGGCCTGGGGCGGGTGAGCTGCCGGAGCGACACAGACCAGGCTGGGGCGGGCGGGGCGTGGTCCCAGAGCACAGGCAGAGCGGGCAGAGCCTGGGCGCACCCCTCCCAGGACAGAGAGGACACCTGACCCTCACCCTTGGCCTGCTGCCTCGCGTCAGTGCAGCGCCCTCCTGGGGCCTTTGTCTGAGATCTGACCCACAGGCTTCCGCCTTCCCAGGCTCCCCAGCCCGTAGGGAATCTCCTGGGAAGGACCCTAATAAAGTGCGATTCCCAGGAATTTCTGGCTCTGCCGCTACTTCTGGGGAGAACACAACCGAAGACAATCCTCCTCCGCAAAGACGCGTGTCATAGGCCGCTAAACGCAGACATGCACGTATCGGGACATTTGCTATTACATTGAATGTCTTATTTAGCACTTTTCCATAGTCGTATTGGTATAAAATGAGCTGTAAAAAGCACAGTTTTAATACCAAAAAGGGCAGGTTTAAATTTTCTGCTAAAAGAGATCAATAAAGTTCCTCAGGAGATTACCCACCACAGTATTTTTTTCCTTTTTCACCAGTGTTATTTCCAATTAATTTGTGACATATTCTACTAAATAAAAAATAAAACACCTGACACACTGAGGGAGGCGTGCTCACCACACAGACTGCGGTCCAGCCCCCATCCTCGCCCGCGCTGTGGGCCAGGATCTTACATTCTAGAATCTGTGGTTTCGGTTGGTGACTTAAGCTCTTCCACTCAGAACTGTGTTTCCTTCTCCGCAGGAAGAAGACAGTGACCGCCGTTCCCCATGAGGCTGCCATGACGACGAGGAACCCAGACAGAACCTCGGCACAGCGCAGGCGCGTGGCGAGGCCCCAATACGTGTCTGCGGGTATTTTCGGACTGAAATGACCTCACAAGGTAACCATCCCCATAACACGCCAACAACTCCCGAAAGCCGGGCACACTTACTTGTAATGTAGTATCAAAGACAACGAGCTTTGAACTGGTTGGGACGATGTCGTAACACTTGTGTGACCTCATGAATCGCATGTAAACGCCACTTTCCGAGTCTTCTGCTAAGAAGGAACGAAAAAAAGGGGCAAATATCAGTAATCATAAAGAACTCCCTCGAAGGGACGCAGAGTACGTATGGAAAACCTACTGCTGATGGACTTAATGGGAAATAGGGAACGTTTTCCCTGTGAGAGTGAGGAGAAGACCTGTGTGTTCACCCGCTGATGCAATGCCGGGCTGGAGGGCCTCGCTGGCGCCCGAAGGCAAGAAAAAACACAAAGCGCGCAGATTGAAAAGGAAAAAGCAAAACTGTTTTTATTTACAGTCTATGACTTTCTACGGAGAAAGCACCAAAGACTACAAAAAAGTTTCCAGATCTTTAGTAAACAGAGTTCAGCAAAGTCACAGAAGGCAGAGTTAATAAACAAAGAACACGCTGTCGTATTTCTACACACTGGCAGTGAACAACTGAAAATTAATTTCATTTCACACGAAGGTACCATTTATGAAAATACCATATGGAAGTATGGACCCACACAAAGCACACTGAAAACGGTAACCACGTGGACAAATGCACGTCTTTCTTATTTAGTCTCTGTAAACCCACTGTACGCCCTAAACATCTACAGACGCAAGCGGTGGGCTCCCCCACACGCCACGTGTGCCTATAGCCGCAAACCTCGCCTATCAACTCTGGTCGCCCAACTTTAAAATCAGACTTGTTAGTGACATCTCTGGGTTTGTAAAGAAAGTTCGCAAATATTCCAGCGCATATGGAAGGAATGGGGATGGTTTCTGTTTTGAACTCGTGGCAGTTAACTGGTAAAAGTTAGCTGACAACTGACAAAGGGACGACAGTGTATTGTGGGGGTTCACAGCGTATTTATTAGGTAAGAGCGTGGCCCCGCCACCCGACCAATGACACAGAAATCCAGGCAGCATCCTCGTCATATCGCCGCCTTCGCCTTCACCAATTTATCACCCAAATCTCTCTCTCTTTTTTTTAAATCCTCACCCGAGGATATTTTTCCATTGATTTTTAGAGAGAGTGGAAGAGAGAGGGAAAGACAGAGAGAAACATCTATGTGAGAGAAACACATTAATTGGTTGCCTCCTCCATGGTCCCTGACCAGGGTCCAGGCTGGGGAGGAACCTGCAACCCAACCAAGGTACGTGCCCTTGACAGGAATCAAACCCAGGACCCTTTGGTCCATAGGCTGATGCTCTATCCACTGAGCCAAACCGGCCAGGGCTGTCACCCAGTTCTCCCTTAAACCTACCTGTTTGCCTCTACCTCTATGGCCACCACCCTCAATCTGACATAAATACCCTGACTTCCTAACTGGTCTCTGCTTTCCATCTTGTTCCCTTTCCAGCTGTCCACGTGGCATCCAGAATGGTTTTGCCAGACGCAAATCTAACCACATCAGCCCTCTGCTGAGAACTCAATGGCTCCCAAGGACTTTAGAAAAAAGAATTCCGACACAGCCTAGGAGGCTCTGCCCGGAAAGGCCTGGCCCCCATCCCCGCAGGACTTCCTCCAGCCACCAGGTCTTCCCTTAGTCCCTCCTCAATGTCATGCCCTCTGCTTCTGCAGGGGCTTCGACGGCTGGGTTCTCGGCCTGGAATACTTTCCCATCTCTTCTCAGCCCAGTTAACTCCTCCTTCACTACCCTCAGCCCATGGACATGACGGAGAAATTGTGGAGCCAGAATTTGAACCCAGATGCCTCTTGATTTCAGAGCTGTGCTCTTCTCGGGATGATGGCCCTCCTTCCCCAGCCTGCAGTCACCTAACTCCCAGCCTGTCTCCATGGCTCAGCTCAGTGGGCATCTCCAGGACTCTGTGACGCTCTACGGAGCCCACCGAGATCCGTGCAGTGTGGGAAGACGTAGTCGACCACATAAAACTAACCAAAGTCCTTTCGCTGTGGAAGGACCCTTGATGTTCTTACATTTCCTACTGGGGGGAACAGTGTGTACTGACTGCCAACTTCATGATCAGCTAGGTGAACCTCTGCCAAGCCTGTGTTCAATTCTGACCTCTCTTCCGGGCACTATAATCCTAATGGCATCATCCCATCAGCCCCTGGACAGCCCCTCCTCAACTGTCTCCCCTCCTGCTCGTGCACCGAGTCCCGCGTCTTGGTCCGGCCCAGGGGCCTCAGTGATCCGGCTTCCCTGTAACCTGTTTCCCACGCCCTGTTCTCAGGTCCAGGCAAACAGCTCCCCACCGGGTCCCCTACTGTCCTTAATCTCACTTGCTTGAATTCACTCATTCTGCTTTAACTTAAATATCCTTTGCCTTTTATTCTCCAATTTCAACCCAACCTCAAACGCCATCTATGTGCTCACTATGGAACAAGCATCTTCGCACTGTAATCCCAGACGTTACACTGAATTACCTTGTTGAATTTATGTAACAACCTTGAGATCGATGCCTTCATTTCTTCACTTTCACATGAGCAAACTGAGGCTCACAGAAGCGAAGTAACTGGCCCAAAATCGGACAGTTAGGAAGTGAGCACGGTGGGATTTCATCCGGACCAAGACTGCAGCTCCTCGTGGAGACTATGCGGCTGCATCTGCTCGTGGCCGGGTGTGGCCGGCAGATACCTGTGGGCACTGCTGTCTGCTAGGCACTGTCCCTGCTGCTGGGAACAAAGATGAACATGGCAGACACGGTCCTTGCCCTCCCAGCTCACATGCTGGCAAAGAAGGAGGGCGCCTGGTGCCTGGAAATGAGCAAAGGGGCACATGGGCTCACACAGGTGGTGAGCATCCTGAGCCAGAAGGGCGAGGAATGAGGCGGGCAATGGCCTCCTCCTCTGAATATGTACAGCATCCTCTATGCGCTTCACACCGGTCAGCACTGTATGTCTCGTTCACAGTGACTGTAAGCTCTAATAGTCTTTCCTTTCCTGGATACTTTGAATGATCGGGATCTTACTCATCTAGTACATTAATTCAATCAATAACTATTTATTGCATAGGATCTTAGTGTGGGTTCTCCCAAAGCTGACCCTGAGGCCAGGGGAAGTGAGCCAGGGAAGGAAACAGTCAGAATAGGGCGTGCCAGTAAGCAGGTGGCAGCTCTGTGCAGTGAGAGTCGAGGCTGCGGGAGACCTGTCAGTCGGACTGTGCACAGGCTTCAGGCTGTCTTGTTGTAAGAATCACTCCTGCCTGCTTTGGTTAGGAGGCTGCCAAGGAATGACCCGGGCAGAGATAATGAAATAGGAGAACTTGAATGCAGGCAAGGCCTTGCTACCAACACTCCCGCTGTGCTAGAGGCCGGGGGCCCCTCTGGTTGATGCCCAAATGGAGGAGAGACATCAACTGTCACAACAGCATCGCGGGCATGACCCAGGGCAAATGTGGGATTTATGAATGAACTAGAGGCCTGGTGCACAAATTCGTGCATGAATGGGGTCCTGCCGGCTGCCCTGATGGGGGCTGATTGGGGCCGGGCCAATGGGGGGGAAGGGACATGGGAGGTTGGCTGATCAGGGCCCCGATCGGGCCGGCTGGCCACCGCAGTACGCGTCATAGCAACGGGTCATTCCATCATTCTGGTCGCTTGGCTTTTATATATATAGATGAGAGTTGCAGTTGGAAAAAGGATGATGAAGTTAAGTCTGTGTGTTCCCACGTTCCCCGGAACACGGATCTATGGGAAAACGGGAGTATCGCATGGGGAAGAACTGAAGCACAGACGCTCTCAGAACAGCTGCACAGGCAGTTCTGACCGTCCCTGCATGCTGTGCCCCCTCGCCAAGAACACGACTGCCCTGCCCTGACACATGCCGTTTCCTTGCCGCCTGCTTGTGGGGATTGTGCAGTCAAACATCCTCTCAGCGAATATGTAAGTTACACGTTGCCGGCCACACCCACACTCCTGAGTTCAAATGAATGAGATCCAGAGGAAAACTAACATAATAAAACGTAATAATCCATCACCCAGAAAGGAAACCTTACAAGATATTTTGTTCACTAACTGAATCACGCCCTTTCTTAAAAGGAGCACACCTATTATAGATGATACTATCTCAATATGAATATCTGTGTGCCCTTTGACTTCTCCCACGTCCTCCCCTGCTCGTACCTGCAGCCTCCACGTCAGCAGGACCTGCCGGGGGCTGGGTCTCTGGGTCCTCTGTAGGTGTGTCCTCAGGAAGGGAGAGTGGTGTGGGAGTGGGGCTCCCTGGGCATCCACCAGCCCCCCAACAGTGAGAGCCAGGTCTCCTCCATCACTGACGTCTTACATTTGTTACAACTAATGAACCGATAAAATAATAGTGGACTAATTATTAACAGAAATCCATTCGTGACTCAGATTTCCTTAGTTTTTAATCTCCCCAGGACAGCACATAGCGTTCAGCCGCGTCTCCGGAACAGCTCCTGTGGCTGTGATGGCCTCGCAGACCTTCCTTGTGTGGGGGCCCGGGGCCTTCTGGAGAGGGCTGGGCGGGTCCTGGGAGGACGCCCCTCGCCCATGGCTGATGTTTTTCTCAGGATTAGACTGGAGTTCTGGGGCTCAAGGTGGTTGTACAATACTTTTCTTAAATGTAGAAAGCTTGACTCAACAAGGCAAAAGCAAAATGTTAAATATGTAAAACAAATTACAACAAAATTTATTTTGGTTCTCAGTATGAACAGATTGTTATTAATGTAATAAAACAACATCAATAACAAAAGCGTCAGCATTTAAGTCAGGAAAAGAAGGTAAAATGTTCTAAAATGTCATTGCTTCTCCACACACAGCATAGCTTTCTGACTAGTGGCTTCGTCTGTGTGACTTACATTACGATGAAGCCTTTGTTGAGTCAAGGCTGAGGGCACACACATTCACTTGAAGGGAAAAATACACAGAAATAGTGAAAACTAGAGTGATCTGGAGTTCAACCAAAAAGAAAAAACAACAAAACCTTTCAACAATAACAGGTTGTTTGGAATGCATTATAGAATTCCTGAGCAGGCACGAAGTTCACATTCTCATTATTCAGCAGGTAACGGGGGTTAAGATAGCATCACAACGTTCCACTCTTTTGTTATTTTATAGCTCACTGGGTAGAAGCATAATTACAGAGTA